GATTTCTGCAACGGAGAGCACAAACATACCCAAAACAGAAAACAAGACAGACCTCTACAAAATGACATTCAGTTTTGCCTGTTTTGAGTTCTACAATTGTTTAAACATTTGTGATCTAAGCTACCTTAATCCTACAGCACACCATTCATGGAGAAATGGATAGATGAATGAATGGATGGACAGAAAGAAATAGCTATTCTTAGAAACAACGACAACAATAAAATGAAATACATTAACTATTACAGGTTGAACACAAATAGGGTAATGAAGTGTCCCGCTCATAAACTGCTAAAATGAGATTAGAGAAAGGTACACATTTATATACAGTAGAACTGCTATCTTCATCTCATGTAACTATTTTACATTATACTAGATGAGAAGTTATAGGTTCCTGTTCTAAATGTTTAAGAATTCCCTTAGGTATCCACTCTACTTATGCTGTTTTTAAGTAGTCTGCAGAATTTAAGTGCACCAGGATAGACATAATTCCATCAGTCACACCCTCCAAATGAAGAAATAGAGAAACATAATGGTTCCATTGCCCGAGGGCCCTGGATGAAATGCAGTATTGGCACATCATTTGTACCACAAAAACTGAATGAGAATTAGCACTGCTGAAGTAAATTAAAATGGAAACCAGGCCTGAAGAATCCCTGAGCAGACAAAACCAATCAGGACTCCTAAGTGACATCAACCTTACTTGATTTGCAAACACAAGCAAAATTTGAAGTTACTTCTTATAAACGCCTATGCTAAAGAAAAAGAGAACTTAAGCTCAACCAATTAGAAACATCCAACAAACTTCTAATTACCCACCTAGGGGCCTTTCCAACATGATAGAGCAAATAAAACAACTGTATGACTGCAGCCAATCAAATATTTTTTTTGCTTTACATCTGTGACCCTCCTACAAAAGCCTCCCTCCTGGATTCCCCTGGTGGAGCTCCCAGATCTGGTTTGGAGCTGCTCAATTCATGAACTGTTTGTTCAAATAAACTCTAAAGTTTATCGTGCTTCAGTTTAACTCTCTTTAACAGCAAACACCTGCAAAGAACAGACAGTAAGATGCTTCTATTGTAAAATGTTGTGAAAACGTATTATATTAGTCGGTTTTTGCACTGCTATAAAGACTGGGTAATTTATAAAGGACAGAGGTTTAACTGACTCACAGCTCCACACGGCTGGGGCGATCTCAGGAAACTTACAATCATGGTAGAAGGCTAAAGGGAAGCAAACACCTTTTTCACAAGGCAGCAGGAGACAGAAAAGCGAGAGCGCAGGAAAAACGGCCATTTATAAAACCATCAGATCTCTTAAAAACTCACTATCACGAGAACAACATGGGGGAAGCTGCCCCCAAGATGCAATCACTTCCCTCCCTCAACACACGGGGATTACAATTTGAGATGAGATTTGAGTGGGGACGCAGAACCAAACCACACCACGTATCAACTGAACCAACTTAAAAATCCATTTTTGTTGACCTTGTGTCCTTCAAAACTCATTTAATAATCACTTAACTGCAGGTAATGAATGTTATGTTAGGTAGTGCACCTGATACCGTAACAATACGTTAGCAAGCCTTGTAGAGATTATGACAAAAATCAATTTAGAGATGTTCATATAACTTTCTCAACAGCACACAAAAACTCAACAAATGAATAAACAAAATGCAGTACATACCAATGAAATGATATACATGTCATGGTGTATATGAATGGAATATACAATGCAATATTACTTACCCATAAAAAGTAATGGAGTACTGATACCTGCTACTGATTTAGAGGATGAACCTCTAAAACATGCTAAGTGAAAGAAGCCAGACACAAAAGAACAAATATTGAATTATTCAATTTTTAGGAAAACCCATAATAGATAAATTTATAGAGGCAGAAAGCAGATGAGTGGTTGCCGAGGATTGGTAGGGAGAAGGGAATGAAGAGCAACTGCTTAATGAATATGGGGTTTCCTTTTGAGGTGATGAAAATGTTTTAGAAACGTGATGGTTCATAAAACTGTGAATGTGCTAAACGCCACACTTTAAAATGGAAAATTTGGTCAGGCATAGGGGTTCATGTCTGTAATCCCAGAGCTTTTGGAGGCTGAGGTGGAAGGATCGCTTGAGGGCAGATTTGGCCAGCCTGTGCAAAATAGTAAGATCCTGTCTTTTAAGAAAAAAAAAATTAAAAAATTAGTCGTGTGTGGTGGCACATGCCTGTAAACCTAGGTACTCCACAGGCTAAGGTGGAGTGCAAGGCTGCAGTGAGTCAGGATGACACCACTGCACTCTAGCCTGCAGAAGAGTGGGGTACCCTGTCTTTGTAAATAATGTAATAAAATGAAAAATTCTGTTATAGGAATTTAATTTAAGAAAGAAAATTGGAAAAAAAAAAACTCACTGGAGTTGGAAAAATCATGAATAGCAGATTTTCAAAATTAGATTAAAAATAAGGGAAATATAAAAATAGCTTCAAATGGAGCAGGCCAATGGAGAAGAAAATGAAAAGAATATTAATGGGTACACCGGAGAGACGTAGGGGTATTACAACACATAATTTCCTCCTCCGAGAGGAAGTCAGTTGATTGTGTCTCAAACTGCATTAAAAGAAAGTATAAAACCTTTTAAAACTTTAAAGATTTGGGGAAATTAGCTGGTTCAGTCTACTCAATCAGATTAATAAAGTACTGTATGATAGTAGGTAATTGAGTCAATGCCACTCTTGAAATAACTAAATACAGAACCAATGCGTCAAATCCTGATCATCTGGTCCCAATAACAGAGATGCTTCTGGACTAAATTCAAGACAAACTTTTCTACTGTATCAAGGTCTCACAAAAATCTATCTAGCTCAGAGCTAACATAAAAACCTTTTGCTATTTGGGTCTTGTACCTTTCAGCTTTAAGAAATGGGTATAAAACTGTGGGAAAAAAAAAAAAAAAAACCAACAACATAAAAGACTCCCTCCCTTAGAAAAAATAAAGTAGCTTTGTGAGTGCCCAGGCTGTCTTATTCAGAGTATCCATGATGTCTATAATTACTGGCACATGGTAGGCACTCCAATATTTTTAAGAGTATAAAAATTTTTGAAAAATGAGATGAATCATTTAAAACCTAAAATATATGGTGAAAAATATATGAGTCTTACGATACCCCCACAGGGAACATTACTTTTTGCCATTCCATAGCCTCTTAGCCTTTTGACTCTGTTTTCCAATTTCCTTTTCCTTTTTAATGTATCTTCATAAATTATGAAAGATTAGTTGGCAATGCTTAAGGCAGCAATCCATATTAAAACTTTGTAATTGTAACAAAACATCCATTAAGTTTATTTTTAAAGTCACTTTAAGCCAGTAGTATCTTATTTTTACTCCCTTTTGAAACAGAAGCCCCTTACAATGAGGATTTTGAGGAACCTGTCCTGTGTCCTTCTTACAAAGTTCCCATTGGTAATTCAGATTGAGAATCGCTGGACTCAATCTCAGGTTGAGAATCGCTGGAGTGAACTCCTTTTATGGGTTCCAACTCTTCCTATTTCTTCCTATGAAGAAATGCTAGTCGTTATTGAGCTGAGAAAACATTACAAGAATCTGTGAAACAAAGCTTCTAACACCTGTATAAAACTGAAAACCTTGTGACTTAACTGGTAAACAGCCAAGAAACACAAGAGACTACTAGCAGCCTCCAGAAAGAGGTACAGGTCAATGAAGTGACCAAAACCGGATGCTGATTTGCTGATTCTGCCAAATTCTTGTTAAATGGCTTTCAATAAGTGATTAACTTTTATTTTCTAAATTCAATGGAAATCTGCTGGTACTCTGTAAGTTACAAATGTAACTGCAAATTGGCCACAAGTCCAAAGGGTCTGGGTCTCTGCTATCAGCATCGACCTTTACGCTCTGGGAATTCATATTTTCATCTGTAAAACTGGGAAAGATAAAGGGACTTATTCACTGAGCTGTTGTGAGAATAAATGAGCACATGAAACCATTTGGCAGTGCCTAGTACACAGTAGGCAATCTAATATTATTTATGTCATTGTATCCATATATCCATATATATGGATACATACATATATATGGATACATACATATGGATACATACATATATGTATGGATACATACGGATACATACATATATATGGATACATACATATATATATGGATACATACACCTGGCTAATTTTTGTATTAGTAGAGACGGGGTTTCACCATGTTGGCCAAAAAGAAACAAAGGAAAAGTCCTATCAATTAGACAGCAGTTCTGTATTATAGGCAATAACATTTTTTCTAAAAAAAAAAAAAAAAAAAAAAGGTAGAGGATGATGGAAACCGCCCCTCCCACAAGTAAAACAGCTGGAACTCCCAATCTCAAATTGCCAGTCCGTCATTCACATATTCAGATCTAGGGCCACTAATCATCATCCGTGGTCCCGAGCTTTGAGTGCAGTAGCAAACAAATGGGAAGAAAAAGAAAAGACACCGAACATCAAAGGGCTGGATAGGTTGTAAAAAACCAAAAGTACCTCTAGTATAGGGGACACTAAAACTTTACAAGTGCAAAACGGCCCCCTATGGAGTTGAAATGCAACACTCAACTCCTTCCCCGCCTCTCGGAGCTCTCAGCCTACACGCTGCAGGGGCTTGAGCCACCGCCAACCCGGGGAAGACGCGACCCAGGTGCCCGCCCCAGGCCGGGGCGCCCAGAGCCAGCGCCAGGTGCAGACGCCGCCCCGTCTCCGCGGAGCCCGGGGATGCCCATGCCGGGGTGGCGGCCGAGAACCCCGGCCAGCGGCTCTTCGGGACCCCGGTCCCGCCTGCGCCCTCCCCAACAGCCGGACACGCCGTGACGACGCGGCCGGGCCCCGGGGCCCGCCCCCGGCCGGCGACCGCAGAGTGCGCGGAGGCTGAGGACGTAGGTGGGCGTCCCCCTCCCCTGCCCTCCTCCATCCCTCCCCGAACCTGAGCCCCGGCTCCGTTCGCTTCCAAGCCGTCTCACCGGCCTCCCTCCCGCCTCTCCGCCGTACGCGCCCGCCTTCCGGCCTCCCAGCACTCAGTCCTGCCGGAGGCCGACGGGAACCGCCGCCTCCAGCTCGCGACTCCGCTTCCTCTCGGACTCCTCTTGCTGCCCCTCACCCCCGCGAGTGGCCAGGAGAAAGCCAGCGCGCCGCTGGGCCTCCTCCCACGCTTCCCCGCCGCGACCAATGGGCCCCCGCCGCCTGGAAGCCGCGCCCGCCCCCTGGCGGTGGAGGACCAAGCGGGCGGCCGGGCCTGCCGGAGGGAAGCGCCGGAGAGCGGAGGGAGGGGTCTGCGGTCCCGCCCGCCGCCCCCGGCCAGGCGCTGCACAATCTGAACTTGCCACGTGGGAGCTGCCGCGGCGGTATCCCTGCGCCGGGTGGCACTACGAGAGGAAGAAAAATGTGTCACTGCTTTCTCCCCACCATTCACACGCACAAAATCTCAGCCTCAAGAGCAGAACATTTTAAATGACCCACCCGTCTCAGAGATGCGCCAGCTAGGTCATCTTAGATATCTTGAGATACCTGAGATGGTCAGATCAACCAAGGACCTTGGGTTGTTTGCCGTTTGACTTCTTGAATCCTAGGAAACTGATTCTGAAAATCCTACTGTCCAGCGTCATTAGAATTCTGATCACCTTTAATGCACCACGCAAGAAGAAAAGTAGTTCTTGCATTTTCCAAGTCACGTTTATTTTTAAAATTATGACTACACAATAGTTAGAAATGTTTTCTCTCAGGACATTTTCCCACAATTGTGTTGATAATTGGGAAGTTAATTCAAATCTTACTATACAAGACCCGAGAATGCAAAATTATTTAGTAATTCAGATCCATATTCTAAAATAATGATTATCTATTATTTGATAGAATATTGGGATCATCAGTGGTTGCAGAAATTAAATTGCATTTAGCAGTAGAGTTTGACTATAGTGCGTTAATATAGAATTGATATTCTACCAAATTTTGACTTTCCTCCAAAAATATAAAACACACAAACTAACAATAACTATGAATTCTGGAGTTTGCATCTGTGGTCAGGGGAGAAAGCATGAAATGAATTCTCATTGTTTTCCTTGCACCAATATTATGCTATTTGTGTATTACTTAAATCAAAAAACTAAGACTCCAAAATTGAGTTTAAATATCTTGCTCAAAAATACAAGGTAGTAAATTATGAAGCTGGAATTCCAGCCTAGCTTCATGCAGCTCCAAACAAACAAAAAGGCACTTTGCTTATTATAGTACCTAAAAACCATAACACTTATTCTACACATGCCTCTCCTAGACTGCTACGTCTCACTGAAAGAATTTATGAAGGCTCTTGAGTAGGGAGTCCAAGGTGTATTTCTGAAAGAGCAATTTTCTCTGTAATCAAGCCAACTAGATTGGAAATTCCATGTGACATATTCTTATAGTACCACACCTGAAACAATTCCTGTGCGTAAAGTCTAATGTGTTAGTAGCCTATTCTCCACTGACCATAAAATATAGCTTAGAACCCTTTGGTAGGTAATGAAATTAATAACAATGGGTCACAACCAACATTTTGTTGCTGTTGATTCACTGAAAAATAGAATAAAAACAGAGTTCAAAGCATAAATTCAGGATAAGTATTCCTCATGAAACATTTGTCCCGTATCATGTGTGGGTGAGTGTCTGTGTGTCTATGTCCTGGCCTGGGATACAGTAGAAATTATATTAATATGGGTTTCAATTTTTTTAACATTGGTAAATCACTTCTTTAGGACTCCTGTTAATCAGCCTGTTCTTACACCGATAAAGGAGTAAGGATAACTTCCTACTTTTACTTGGCAGGAGGTAGGGCAGCCAGGAGAAGTAATCAGGATTAATGATTAAGCTTAATAAAACCACAAAGAGCTTGACAGCTCCAGAAGGTACAGGCCAAAGGTGTTGCTATTATAATAGATACTGATAATGTATATTTCTAAAGCTGATATTTATTGTATACTTATTGTGCACCAGGCACTTTTCTAAGCATTATATATATATATATATAGACTTATTTAATTCTCACAATAATCCTGTAAATACAGAGGAGAAAAGTGAAACTTGCTCAAGGTCCTTCTGCTATGACCAGACAGAGCTAACTAGACATGTGCTCAACTTCAGAATCCAACTATTTTGTTGACTTGAAAAGAATATTCAGAGTGGGACATCCAGCTTCTGAGTGGCATCCTTCACAGCACAAGCAACGAAAGAGAGGATTAAATATGATGTTGAGAAAGGCAAGAAGATTTGTATTCAGAAGTGTGCCTAGTGCCACAGCATGGAAAAGGCAGGCCAGCACAGGACTGGGCCTAATCTCCATGGTCTCTTCGGATGGAAGACAGGTCAAGCTGCTGGATTCTCTTATACAGATGCCAGTAAGAACAAAGGCATCACCTGGGGAGAGGAGACATTGATGGAGTATTTGGAGAATCCCAAGGAGTACAAGAGCAAAGATAATCCCTAGAACAAAATTATCTTTGCCAACATTAAGAAGAAGGCAGAAAGAACAAGCTTATCTCAAAACAGCTACTAATGAATAATAATTGGCCACTGCCTTATTTATTACAAAACAGAAATGTCTTATGACTTTTTTATGTGTACCATAATTTAATAGACCTCACACACCAGAATTCAGATCATGAATAACTGACAGAATATTTTGTTGGGCAGTCCTGATGTAAAACCAAGACTGGCTTGTTGTTAAATGAATATGTTCAGTTTGTTGAATTTTAATAGTAATTCCAATTCAGTAAACGCTATCACTGTTTACCCTTTCTAAAGACATGATTAGACTTTATTAGTAATGTTCAACTTTTCACAAAGATGGTGAATGCCATCTTAAAATGTATTGGAGATTGGTTTTATATTTAGATTTATATAAATGGTTATGTGAATATATTTAAATACTGGGGAAATTCCTTTACTATCTCAGAACCAAGCAAGATTCACCTGTGTTTTGTGTTCACCTCTTAAAAGCAAGGGTTGAAGATAAGGTAGCAATGTCTACTTTATATTTTTGGCCTTAACTATGCCAATCTAATTAGAATTTCTTGTATTTAAAATGATTCCTTTTACTTATTGAAAGGCATTTTAGTATGGTTTATGTATAGTATCAAATAAAGATTATTTAACACTTCTCACATTTTACAGATGATCTGTAAGGTCACATGCTTTTAAAATAGTAGCAAGATAAACTTCACTCTTGAATTATTTACAGTCTAAGTCAAACTAAGTTATATTTTAGGATTGTCTTTAAACAGCCATTCAGAGGCCGGGTGCGGTGGATCATGAGGTCAGGAGATCGAGACCATCCTGGCTAACACAGTGAAACCCCGTCTCTACTAAAAATACAAAAAATTAGCCAGGCGTGGTGGTGGATGCCTGTAGTCTCAGCTACTGGGGAGGCTGAGGCAGGAGAATGATGTGAACTAGGGAGGCGGAGCTTGCAGTGAGCCGAGATCGCGCCACTGCACTCCAGTCTGGGCGACTCCGTCTCAAAACAAACAAACAAATACAAAAAACAGCCATTCAGAAACAGAAAAATGTAGAACTGCTGTGTATTTGTGATTGGGAATGGTGCTTTTGCCAACTTAAAACGATTAAAGTAGAGGAGATATACACGAATTTTTAAATTATGTGTGATCATAAGACTTAATTAAAAACAAAACCACAGATCATGATTAAAAGAAAAGAATGTTCATTCTCTCTTCAATAGGTGCCATATTTTATATAAAACTATATTACTATAACTCTATAAGAATATATATAAAACATATGTAAGAATTAGATAATATTGTTAAATACAAAATTTACAAAAAACCTCAGAATTTTAATTGCACCGACTCTCAAGAAGAAGAGTCCACTTGGTATCATTTTTCTGTATATGGAATAGTAAATTATATGCAAATATGGCTACCAACAATTTCCCCATTCCTGTAAGTTCATGCCACTTTGTTTTTTACTATCAAGAGGTCAATCTATATCCTCTCCTCTAGGACCTAGGCTTGCCCCAGGACTTGTTCTGAACCATAGAATGCATGGAGGAGATCTTATGTGACTTATGGGCTTAGGCCTTAAGAGACCTTGCAGCTTCCATTTTCACTGTCTTGGGGATCTAGTCACCATATAGGAAACTCAGACGACTACCGAATAATGAGAAACTACATGCAGAAAGACAGAGGCCTACCTCTCTCTCTCCCCACACGTCTCTCTATCCACACCATCCCAGCCACTTCCCCTGAGGCACCAGCCATGTAAGTAAAGTCATGTTGCATGTTCTAGCTCCAGCTAAGTTCCTACCTGAGTACATCACGTGAGTGACTCCAGACAGTACCACATGGAGCATAACTGCCCAGCATAGACCAACAAAGCCACAGACACTTGAGAAATAACATACTTAAAAAAAAAAAGTTACTAAGTATTGTGGTAGTTTGTTACATAGCAATAAATAACTGACTCAGGGAAGAAAACATCTGTCGGGGGAAAAAAAGTAGACCAACTCTGGGGGTAGGGTTACTGTAAAATATTCAAGCATGTTTATATTGGATTATAAACTCAAACCTGTGGCAAGATGGCCAGAAACTTGCCTAACTTTTAAAGAATATAGCAGAAGAGAGAAAAAAAAAGAGAGAGGTAAAATAAAAAACCAAAAGTAAACATGTCAAATTTTATATCTATATGGGTTAAAATATCACAATAAGTGTTGCTTGAAAACTATTATTCACACTTTTTATAAAAATATGAATTTAAAACCCTTAAACTTCATCCTTGCCTGTAAGGGCAAAATAGTACAGTTCAAAAAGCTGGAGTGCTCAAAGATTTCATGGCACTGTATTTGATACATTAGCAACACAGCCTATAAAATGTGGTTTAATTTACTATGAAATATGTATGACACAGTAGAATGGCATTATAGCAAATGTATCTTTGCATAAAAAAGACTCTAAGTTTTTAATCTATTACTTTTCTAGTAACATACAAGAAAATTCTAAATGCCATAAAAATTTTAATTTTTAAATGAATTGAATAAAAAATAAATATTCAAATAAATTTAACTTTTGATTTCACTCCATAGGGGATTCTAGTTTTGATTTGATGTTTTAATAGGTCTTTCGGTGTGGGAAAATTTAGCGTTTTTGTCTTGTTATAAATCATATTAAATGATATACTGTATATGGTAACCCACATAAAAAAATGTATTGGAATCATGACTACAAAGTAACTTCCCTTTCCTTGAAATTATGCACAAATGTGAATTATAAACAAT